GAATCCTCTGCATATGCTCCTGCAAAAATTAAAAACTGTTTTACAATCATAATGAGAGAGTACTGAAGGAATAAAGGCTGTGTTACCGACGTACTTACAAGTCTTGATTCATTATTGCTCCTTCCCATAACTGAATCCTCTGCATATGCTCCTGTAAAAATTAAAAACGGTCTTACAATTGTACGTGTAAAGCAGTGAGAGAATAAACTACGTCTATTAACGGTATACCTTTGTGTTGTACGTTCACATCTTCATTGTGCATTTGTTTTCTAAATTATTCAGCATATATATAATCTTTTCAAACTAAACCCTTTGGTAAGTAACCTAGCGATTATCTTTCGATTTCTTCTCTATGTGCTCTGCTATTTATATATATGTTCCTAAAAATATAATGTAACACGTCATGTTATGCATCTCACAATTATTGTTTTGAAAAGTCATTAGTTCATTACGATTGTCTCATGAAATATCATGACGGCACTGACAATTCACATATTCAACATCCATGTTCCAGGCGAATCAGACGAATAAGCATGTTCAAAATCAGGCGGGACCGCACTGAGGACACTACTTGTGGGCTCAAACCATAGAGATATTATAGATAGAGTACAGAAGCCAACCACAAACGCGATTCGCAAATAGAAAGAGAAAGGAAGCTGAGAATGTGGGGTCCACGGAGGCTTGTGGGGTCACCAGAGGCTTGTGGCCTCAAATTCACTCTTTTCTTCTCCAGGTCGGATTGTACAAATAAAGCAATGATGTTGGGTTAACAACACTTTATTCAGCAGTAACGAGAGAGTGAACAAATTCTATGAGTCTCGGGTTGGACTCTCGACTCGAACAGACTCGAATGGTCGAATGATTAATGTTGAACGATCAATGATCGAATGAAGGACGACCTATGGTCGTTACAGCGTTTTATCTTCAAACGGTTTGGTACCAATCGTACCAACTGTCGCAACGCAACAGTTCCTCCTGCGCCTTAAACTATCCAGTCTTTAAGATGCGCTTCTGCGCTAGTGCCTGCGCACTGTCGCAGCGTACGCGCGAGGGGAAGGGGCGAATCCCCATAAGAATTACTACCTCTTTCTCTCTACGCGCAGTACTCATATAGGTGTATATGGATTCGAATACGTACGCTGTATGCATGCAGAGCATGCGCTCTGCTGCTGTTAAACAAAGAGAGGTAGTAAATTTCGACTTTCTAACAGCGCGTCAATTCCACTTACAGGCGAGTCTATGGCATCTGTACTCTATCTGTAATATCTCTATGGCTCAAACGGAGCTGTTTTCCCCCTCATGCCTTTGGGAGCCCTACCCCTCGCCCATAATCCCACTTTAGGCACCGTCCTTTAAGTCCATGGAAAACCCGGACTTGAGCACTCTCATTTTTCTCTCTGATTGATATACATTTCAATCAAAGAGAAAATAAGAGAGCTCATGCCTTTGTTCTCGCGTGGGACCACAACGAAAGTGCTGCACCTCGCGGCCAATTCGGAAAGAACGTCCACCGTAGCATATTCCAGCACCTTTTTAGCAGAGATCTACCTCGTTCGGTTCCACCATAGCATAGACAAGAATCGAATGGACTTCCACCGCAGCATAGACACAGTGTAGACAGTATTACAGGTGAGACATACGAGTTTATACATTTCGAAGGGAAGTCGTTCGGCCGAGCGGTAGCCGCGATAGCCTCGACGAACGAACAAGTTCGCTGAAATATACGTAGTTTGGAATAAGTGAAGAATAGGGTTATATTGATTTAATTTTTATATTTTATCAAGGGGCACGGTAGCGGCCCGAAGGCAAGTTTGAGGCCCGTCAGGGGGCAACATTGCCGTCGGGCACCGCGTACCTTATTTTTACACGTAAATTCGACATTTTGAATTTCTTTCGTGAATATTAATTGTTTCCTCTGTACTTTCTTAATGCTTTAATGTCACAATACAGTTTTTTTAGACTACTTTACAATGTGTAAGAAGTCTTTTTTAAAAAGATGTCCTTAATGCAGAGATATTTTTCAGAAGTCACTAGATGGTCCGATATCAAAATCTTTTCTCTTTCGTCTCCCCTATTTCTTTTTACCATGAAGTTAGCTTAATAACTAAATATGTATAACCAACTTATAAAATCTTTTAATACTTCATACGCTTTTCAATTAATGAACGATTCAATGTGGTCAACTTCATACAATAAAATGATAATACCGGTGTATGTGACACATGTGCGATATGATATAAAATAATAATAATTGATAAAAACGGTGTATGTGGCACCTGACATATAATAGAAATAATAATTGATAAAAACGGTGTATGTGGCACCTGACATATAATAGAAATAATAATTGATAAAAAC